GCTTGCTCTCTCTCTCTTTCTCAAAATAAATAAATTAATTTTTTAAAAAACCTCTTATTAAAAAAATTATTTTTTTTTAGTTTTTTTTTAATGTTTATTTATTTTTGAGACTGAGAGAGACAGAGCATGAATGGGGGAGGGGCAGAGAGAGAGGGAGACACAGAATCGGAAGCAGGCTCCAGGCTTTGAGCCATCAGCCCAGAGCCTGACGCGGGGCTTGAACTCACAGACCGTGAGATCGTGACCTGAGCCGAAGTCGGACGCCCAACCGACTGAGCCACCCAGGCGCCCCTAAAAAAATTATTTTTAGGTAATGTCTTTCTTTCTTGAGAGAGAGAGAGAGAGAGAGAGAGAGAGAGAGAGAGAGAGAGCATGAGCTGGAGAGGGGAAGAAAGAGATGAAGAGACAGAATCCAAAGCTGGCTCCAGGCTCGGAGCTGTCAGCACAGAGCCGGATGTGGGGCTCAAACCCATGAGCTGTGAGATTATGACCTGAGCCGAAGTCTGATGCTTAACCAACCGACTGAGCCACCCAAGCACCCCTATATTTAAGCAATTTCTACACCCAACTCACAACCCCAAAGTCAAAAGTCATATGCTCTACCGACTGAGCCAGCCAGACGCCCCTGTCGTTTAGTATTATTTTTTAAGGCATCACAGGGTCACTGCTGTCCCCGTCATGCCAGACACACTGTGGGCGGAGGGAGGGGAGGCATTTGGCTGTCTCTCCCTTTGCTCCCAGGCCTGTCTCCAAGGGCCCAGGCTCCAGGTCCGTGGACACAATGGGCCTCTCTAAGCAGCAGACAGTTGGCTGCCAGCTTGGGCCCAGATTCCAATTGCGAACACATCCCTGTGGCTGAGAATAAGATGAAGACATTTGTGCAAACCCCTGAACTAGCAGGGGAAAAGGTCTACAAGGCAGGCTAGGGTTACCGAGGCCTCGCTGAACCCCTGACTTAGGTCAGAGAAGTAAGTCTGGCACCCAGAGTTTGCTAGTGACATCTGTCCTTCTAGGACGTTCTCTGGGGACTCTGTACCCATTGAACCCCAGGCCTCAGGAAAGATGCCCAGCTGCCCCGCCAGGTTCACATCCAAAGGAAAATCCATCTTTCCATGGCCCCTTGGACGTGGCCCCAGGACTGGGATGGGGGTGGGAAAGTTTTGAACGATGTGGCTAGTAATTAGGCTGGAACATAGGTGGAACATAGGCCCAGAGAGGGTCCCAGGAACCCTGAGTCCAGACTGGTGAAGCTACCAGACCCTTATCTTCTCCATAAGCTCCATCAGATCTCAAGGACCAACCACATGCCAGCATCCTGGCTGCCTCATGTCCTCCAGGCTTCTCAGGTCACCCCTGCAATTCAGACTCTTGACCCCAGTGCCTGCCCCCACGCCTTTTCTGCCTTGGGTGGAATTACCCTTCCACAAATATGCTGTACTAGGAGAGCACCTTAAAAGAGACTTCAAATAAGAAAAAGCTGGAAAAAAACAATAAGAAGGCCACAACCTCCAGACTCTTCCTCTTATCCAAGCCTGCTTAGGTGAAACCATCACCATCTCCTTCCTGTTCACGGCCCCAGCTTCCTCACTGCCTTTCTGCATCCATTTCTGCCTCCCTCCAAAGGGAGTGCCAGGATGGTGCTGCTAAAACCCAGATCTGCCCATGTGCTGCTCCTGCTGAATCCCCATTAATGGCTCTCTGTTTCCTTCCAGAGGAAGTCCAAATGCCTTTAGCCTGGCATTCAAGGCTCCGAAGTCTCTCAGTCTGGATAATCTCCTCTTTCTCCACTCCCTTCCTTATACCGTAGGCTCAGGATAAAGCTAATTACTTCCCAGGCAGCTCCCCAGGTAAGTCAAGCCATTGACTTGACAAGACCTGAGGTCTTGTTCACACAGCTCCCCTGCCTGGAATGCCCTTCCCCAACCCCATACCCACATCTGCTATGGTTCATAAAGTGCCAGCATTCCCCCCGCCCCTCCAGGAAGTCTTTCCTGACTATCCAGAGAGAAGTAACAACTGTCTCCTCTGATCCATGGACAGATTCCCATCTCAGCACCTGTGACACGTTGGTAATCTAGCATTTTTGCTCAGCTGTCCGCCCACCCCACTAGACTGAGATTCCCCTCAAAACCACTGAGTAGACTAGTATAAAAGGAGAAGGAAAGAGAAAGCAGAGAACACTCTCATCCAAAAGGGAGGAATAATATGGGAAGATTATAAACAATTTATGCCAACAAATTTGACAACTTAGATGAAATGGACAAATTTTTTAAAAGACACAAACTACCAAAGCTCACTCAAGAAAAAATAGATCATCAAAATTGCCCTATTAAGAACACGGGAAATGCCGTTAAAAACCTTTCCATAAAGATGGCTTCCCTGGAGAATGCTACCAAACATTCCATGAAGAAATAATATCAATTCTCTATAAATGTGATGGGACAGGAGGGTAATTACTAACATTTATTGAGTGCCTACTATGTGCCACATCCTATTTGGGGCAAGAGATAGGCCAAGCTCCAGCCAGAGGCCTGGGGCAAGATTTGCCAAGGAAAGATCTTACCCTGGGAAAAGTCTCAAAAAACGTTAACAGCTGAGGACTCCCAGTCTTGGAATGGTACACTTCTCTTCCCTACTGTATCCATGATACACATTGTTAATCACTTCCAGCTCCTTTCTGCTGAGCCCAGACAAGACGCCCCAATCCTTCCAAATACGTGACTCCCAGTAGCCACCAGGGAAGATGGCACTCAAAACGAAAGCTACTGATCATCTCTGATCTGGTCTAATCCCAACTGATAGGGAAACTGAGGGCCAGAGAAAACAAGGGTCTTACCCAAGGCCAGAGATTCATCACAGAGCGGACAGATTTTTTTTCATTTTTATTATTTTTTTTCAAATTTGTATTTAAATTCTAATTAGTTAACATATAGTGTAATATTGGTCTCAGGAGTAGAATTTAGTGATTCATCACTTACATATAATACCCAGTGCTCATCATAACAAGTGCCCTCCTTAGTACCTATCACCCAGAGAGAATTTTAGAAACTGATTTTTAAATAGTTTCTATGAGGGGCCCTGGGTGGCTCAGTCAGTTAAGCAACCAACTCTTGATTTTGACTCAGGTCATGATCTCATGGTTTGTGAGTTCAAGCCCCGCATCAGGTTCTGCACTGACAGCACGGAACCTGTGCAGAACCTGCTTATAATTCCCTTTCTCCCTCTCTCTCTGCCCCTTCCCCGCTTGCACGCGCTCTCGCGCGCTCTCTCTCTCTCTCTCAAAATAAAGAAGTAAACTATAAATAAATAAATAAATAAATAAATAAATAAATAAATAAATATTTGTATGAATGAGACAGTGTTTATGTTTTATCTCCTCCACCAGATAGTGAGCTCCTGCAGGAGAAAACCTGGGTCTGATTTAGCTTCTGACCCAGTGCTCTGCACACCAGGTACACAGTAGGTGTCTATAAATGTTTCTTGGCTTAGTAAGGCAGGAATGGAGTACAAGAATTATACAGAAGGCTTGGGTATTAGCTCCTGAAGCCAGGAGATACCTCAAGCTTCTAACACTCAAAGATGTTATCTTCTCAGAATGACTCATGCTGAGAGCCCAGATAGACATTCTCACCCCAAAGATGAAAGCATGAGGAGGACCTCAGCGTGAATTAGAAATGTGTCTGCAGTAGAAATTTTACCATCTACAGATTAAACTTTCAAATAGCAGAACCTAGAAGAGTTCCTCAAGTCAACCAAAGAATGACATTTTGATGAGTTTCAACTGCATTACTGGCTATAAATACCAAAGTAATGAGGCATAGGGTAGCGGAGTCTTTTATACCCATATCATTTATGAGTGATCTTGTTATTTAACCTTGCTGTTAAACTATGACTGTTATACTTAAGCTTCAAGGGCCAATACTGCAGAATTGACTTTTTTAAAGTGTACATTTAAAAAATGCACCAGTGGCATTTAAATAGATACATCGAAAATGTAAAAATAAAAACAAAAGTGAGAAAGAACTGAGGTCAGGGCCACAAGAATGCCAAAGATCACCCAGAGCCTGTTTGTTTCTGTGGCCTCTTGGAGACCTGTTTGGGAAAACAAGGGCCACCTATCAGGATTCAGGCTTGGGGCTCAGCTCAGCAGCTTTGCTAGCCATGGCATTCTCCATCAACCCCCGCCATCTCCCTGTGCCTGTTCTGGGCCAAGAGCCAAACACACATTCCTCAGGCCCCCACAGCTTCCGGAACTGACAGAGGGGAGTTTGAAGAAAGGGCTGAGCAAAACAGAAAACCTCTTGAGTGAGATGGCAAAAGGCAGATATGGGACAGTCACAGCAAGAGACTTACAACAACTGATGGGGAAACTGAGGCCCAGAGAAGACAAAGGTCTCATCCAAGACCACAGAGTGCGGGGATAGTGGAGAGGAACCACCAAGGTCCCTCCTCCAAAACTCCTCTCTGATCCTTGCTGGAAGGATCTCATGTCCTGCAATGTAAAGGCCAAGTCCTCTCCCAAGGGAGGATGGGTCTCAGGGTTTTAAGGACCCTAGAGCTGGGAGCTCTCCAGTTTCCTCAAGAAAGAATATTAGCTGCCTCCTCCCCAGGCCCTGCCCCCTCCTTCCCTGATTCACTCACTGGGTGGAGGATCCTGCCATGTACCTTTTGTCCTGATCACACAACCCAGCAAGGGTTACAGAAATAACCCAGAAGTTAAATCTCTGTTTTACAGGTGAGGAAACTAAAGCTCAGGGAAACGAAATGACTTGTCCAAGTCCACAAAGCTAATGAACAGGAGAGAGAAAATGAAAACTAGGTCTGTCTGGCTCTGGGCCAGCTCTCCCACCACCACGCCATACTGTCTCAAGGCAGGTCCCCAAGTTCTGTCTCTGTTTTCGTCTCTGCCCACCTCCCAGCCCCCACTGCTGGGCTGCGGCCACTTGAAGCCTGGGGAAAATAGGAAAGAAGTGAACATCCTTGGGGTCCCCGGTGCTTACCCTCCAGCACCACCTCTTTGCCCGTCTTCTTCAGGACCTGCACCGCCTCATCATGGGTAGCAGAGGAGAGATCCTCCCCATTTACAGACAAGATGGCATCCCCCACGAAGAGGGCCTCAGTCTGGTCAGCTGCCAGGCCCTTGAAGATCTTGGAAATGAGAATAGGCATCTTGTTCTCTCGGCCCCCTGCACAGGCACAGAAAGAGGAAAAACTGAGGCACACGCTCCAATGCATGAGAGTCACACGAAAGCAAAATTCTTTCTTTTCCTTTTTTTTTTAAAGTTTATTTATTTGGAGAGAGAGACAGAGAGCATGAGTAGGGGAGGGGCAGAGAGAGGGAGGGAAAGAATCCCAAGCAGGCTTCATGCTGTCAGCACACAGCCCAATGCAGGGCTCAAACCCATGAGCCGTGAGATCATGACCTGAGCCAAAACCAAGAGCCAACTGCTTAACCGACTGAGCCACCTAGGTGCCCCAAAGCAGAATTCCCTCTGAAGGCCTACCTCAGTGACCAGCCCAGTGCCAAGAAGGTGGCGATGAGAGAGTTAAGAGAATCTCAGAAATTAGTCTTAGAAGTCTGGAACACTAATAAATCATTTTCTAAATTCATAATGTAGTTTGGTCACTGGTGCTTTGGGTGTTTGCCAGTGTTTGAGTAACTTACAAAGTGCTTCAATAGTTTTTTCTTAAGTATTTTGGATTTTAAGTAATTTTCCTACAATGGGGGAACCCACTGATACTCCTTAATCTGGAATAAAGATAGAAGTCAGCTATTGCTATGGCCCCCAAGGTCCTCTTTAGCAATCAGAAAGTTTGACAATCTAGGACCCAGCTGAAAACCAAGGCCTTAAAGTCTAGATTTCAGGAATGCCTGGATGGCTCATTTGGTTGAGCATATGACTCTTGATTACAGCTCAGGTCATGATCCCAGGGTTGTAGGATCGAGCCCTACATCAGTCTCCACGCTCAGCATGGCTTAAGATTTTCTCCTTCTGCCCCTCTCCCCCGCCCACTCTCTCTTTTCTCTAAAAAAAATTTTAATGTTTATTTTTGAGAAAGAGAGACAAAGCGCCAGTGGGAGAGGGGCAGACAGAGAGGGAGACACAGACTCTGAGGCAGGCTCCAGGCTCTGAGTTGTCAGCACAGAGCCTGATGTGGGGCTCAAACTCACAAGGTTCATGACCTGAGCCGAAGTTGGATGCTTAACCGACTAAGCCACCCAGGCGCCCCTTTCTCTCTAAAATAAAATAAAATAAAATAAAATAAAATAAAATAAAAATTTTTAAGTCTAGATTTCAAAAGCCTATCCAAATTGCATCTCTGGTGCAAAGAAAGCTAATACATCTTACTGAATGATAAATTCTTGAATATCATTTTTATTTTTTTTAATTATTTTTAATGTTTATTTATTTTTGAGAGAGAGAGACGGAGTGTGAGCAGAGGAAGGGCAGAGAGAGAGGGAGACACAGAATCGAAGCAGGGTCCAGGCTCCTGAACTGTCAGCACAGAGCCCGATGTGGGGCTTGAACCCACAAACTGTGAGATCATGACCTGAGCTGAAGTCGGACACTTAACTGACTGAGCCACCCAGGCGCCCCTTGAATATCATTTTAAAATATGAATCGTCATAATAGTTCACATTAGTTCCACATACCAAGTGCCAAGCACTGTGCTAAATGCTTTCACTGTTGTCTCACTGCATCTTTACAACACCCCAATCACACATGCATGCTCAGTTTCCTATCAGGAAAAATGAGGTATGGAGAGAAGCCCAAGGTCATCCAGCTAGTTAGTGGCCGCAGAGCAGTACTTGAACCCAGGTCTCCTGGCTCCAGAACCAACACTCTTAACCCTATGGTGGACTGCAAGTCAGGCCCTCAAATATCATATCACCAGTCCATCCCAAAATATTGAAGATGAGGAACTAGTTGCCCATAGAAAGAAGGTCATTATTTCAAGGTCACACAACAAATTGATGGCAAAGGTAGGACTAGAATGCCTCTCCTGACCCCCACACAGGCTCACCGCACTGCACAGAGCTTGAAGCCTAGAAAGGAATGGGTTTCTATTTATACCTGCTCTTCTCCACCTGAAACTAGGGACTTCAGTCCAGTTTGAAGCTATGATCATTCTAGGCTGCCCCAGGCTGGTCTGGACCCTGGAAGGGAGGTTATCGTGGCAACAGGAGCTCAGTCTCTACCAAGGAAGAACTGAAT